ATGTGTGTGTGTGTGTGTGTGTGTGTGTGTGTGTGTGTGTGTGTGTGTGTGTGTGTGTGTGTGTGTGTGTGTGTGTGTGTGTGTGTGTGTGTGTGTTACCTGCAGCACTATTAGTCTGAGCTCACACTTCAAGGTCAGGCTCCATCCCTTGTCTCTCCTGATAAACAACCTTTTTGTCTTACAACTATAGCTTTTTCTGTGTCATTTACTGGCATTTTGCACATGTTACCAACACGGTCAATTATCTCTATGTCTATATTACATTACCTCAAATAAGTTTGTACTACATCCCCTCTGAGAAAAGTCCCTGTCTTGTTTCCTCTAACTTCCCCCAACTCAAGAAACTTGCTTTTTATTTGATAAACACCGGGTATAATTGTTAATTAATGTAATTTGTGTACATGAAGTTCACCTGCAGAAAATATATATGCCTAGTCAGACTCTAGGGTTACATTAAAATGTCTAAACGGAATTTATTAGATATCATAATTCATGTGTAGAAAAACGATCTCTGAAATTAAGTTCACAGAATTCAGTATTTTTGTTTTATCTTCTGATTTCAATAGCCCATGTAAATGGAATGTCTGAGTAAAACTGTGTTCGATATTTTGCATGATAATCAATATGGCTTAATGAAACTTCAAGTTTGTCCATGACCTTGGGCAAGGTGCCAACGCCTTTTCTGTATGCTGCCAATATGCATAGTAGTCAAGTCAGCATTTTACAGGTAGGCAAGCATGACTAATAATCACCTTGTAATGTTGTCACAAGTATGGTTATATTGGAGTTGTGATTAACATCTTGCTTCTTAAACAGCCTGCTAGAGTATATGTCTGTTGCTTCCATAACTTAGAGAACATTCAAAAAATCCATTTACCTTTGATATTAAGTGGTATATTAATCTCTGTAGGGCATAAGCACTTCACAAATAAAATTCCTGTGATTTTCACAATGATTACTGTTGTTGAACACGTAAGTCTGAAGAGTGTAAAGCAGAAAAAGGGTTGGGAAGGGATTTTCCTTTCTGTTCAAGTATGTATCTAAAATTCGCTATTGGAAACATTTATCATTTTTTCAGGTTAGGCCAGATTGGACTCTGTGGAAAAGATACAAGTTACCATTACTCTGGGATCTCTAAGTGTATGAGTACATTAAGAATACCTTCACTGTAGGCAAAAGTTGACCTTCATTTAGGGGACACCAAGATTATAGAAGAATGAGCCATAAAATTGTGCTAGACTATGAAAGCACAAATCTGGGTTTGGCTTAAATTCTCCTACTGGGGAATTCATCTGCTGCCCAATTTGAATTTTGGAAGAATACCGAGAAAGCATGTGTAGGTATACAGCACTTATAGACTCAAGTAAGCATTCTGCCCATATTTATTTCACTCCAATCTAGTTAACACTGTTGCTATATATAAGGGACAGAAAACAAGGTGATGATTCTTGCCCTCAAGAAACTTGCAATCCAGTACAGAGGCCGACAAACTATCGTCCTTGCCAAATCTGACCTATGGTCAGTTGCTTTCCTCACTTAGGAAATTCCAAGGATTTTAGGATCTCTGTGCCAGAAAATAGATGAAGACCAATACACACTTCTTATTCTCCCTCCTCCTTCCCACCATGCACACACCTAGAAAAGGCCACTTGAGGACATAATCGGGAAGAGGGCCCTCACCAAGAACTCCACCATACTGGCACCCTGATACTGGACCTCAAGCCTCCAAAACTCTGAGAAATAAATGTTTGTTGTTTAAGCCAACCAGTCTATGGTATTTGTTATAGGAATTTGAATGGAGACACCTGGGGTCCATGGAGCCCCAAGCAGTCTGTGGATGAAACACAAAGGATTTGTGAATGTGAGGTGGGACAACAACATCTTTATTTTTACTACTCTGTTACTGAAATTTAGCATTTCTTCTATACGTATAGGCAACAAACCACAGTAAGTGGTTTGTCAGCGATAGAAACCATGGCTATTTT